AAAAGGAAGGCCGACTCAATGTGTCCCGCATCCGGTGTGTCTCAATGTAGCCGTCGGCCCGAGACGTATCCCCTCCCGCCCGGGTACGCTATCAGGATCATCATCATCAAGTTTTCTCCTTATAGCCGGATGCGGCGCAGGATGACATGTATCGGTGGTGCTGTCAGGTCCAGTAGAAGGCTACATAATAATATAAAACTTAGTTTAGAAAACTACATAATAATTCATAACAATTTATATTATCTTACCATAATCGTGTCTGGATCCTGAATGTAGTCATCTGTCAGCATCACATGAAGCCTGAAAAAGGAAATTAAAATAGTGTAATAAAATAAATAAGTTATAGTTAAAACAAATTCAAATTCAATACTAATAAACTCATACCTGCGCATGTGAAGAGCTGCCATAACTCAGTCGGCGCCCACTAAATAAATCTCGGGTCGGTGGACCCTCATCAGTGGTAGACGGGCCAGGGAAATATCTACCCCAATCTGCTCCTTGAAAATCCGAGCCCGTGATCAATAATTGACCCGATGGGGTCATCTGTGAAGGCACTGGAGTGTCAAAAATTCCAAGGCTGTAAGACGGCATGTCAATCTCATGCATGCCACCTGCCATATCAGCAGCAACATCATCGCCCCCTGCTGAACACCACCTCCTCGGGCAGCACGAGGTCGTCGGGCACCAGCAGGTCGTCGGGCACCACCACCTCGTGGGATACCACGACCTCGCTGGTACGTGGCTGGGTCAATATAATCAGCCTCGTGTGCCAAACGCTGATCCGATCGGGCTCGCTGCAGTGTCTGGGCAGGCACATCCATGAATCGACGACTATAGTCCTGCATGACCACAGGATCGTGGACATAACTCTACATCTGCTGCCCCATACGATAGACGGTATGCAATCCAATCGCCTGCACAAAAGTAAAGAATGTAAACTACGTATTTGGCACGAAATTACAGGTATATAATTAATTATAACAGAAAACATACCAGAGCCTCGTGTCTCCCGGCGTATTAGACGTACCGACCTTCTGCCTGATGAATTGGGTTCCCGATAAAAAGTCGGGAAACAGTGCGGTACCATGCCATATAACCTTCAATAGGAAAGTGTTGCGGAGGTGGGGTCAAGTCACCTCGCCTGTCCCAAATAGCCAGCTGAGCGTTAAGCCAGTCAATAAATGTGTTGTCCACCCTGGACCGATCATCCCTCTCATAATGTAAAGGATGCCATGCAGGCAGAGTCGGTATAGGCTGCGGCAGGCCAAACTAACGAGAAACCCGCTCTGAGGCATGATGCTCCACAATATCGAGGCATGTGATAGGAACAGAAGCCCTCCAAATATGTTGGCCGAACGTACAATACGCTGGCAGGGTACCTATCACCTCCTCGCTATACGGCGTCCAGATGAACTATCAAATAACAACACAAACCGTTAGTATGCGCAACACTAAATTAAACAATAACTGGTACGTTTAGTTAGATATTCACCTGTGCGTCCTCCAGCAAATCCAACACATCCCTGATGCGGGGGAGATTATGATGGGCATCATACTCTCGTGCAAGTCTATGACGCATAACCCACCTACAAGCTAGAGGGAGATTCGGAATGTCTACATTAGCCGGTAGCTGTGGTAGAGGTGGCCGAAGCTGCAGAAATCGCTCCCAGACCCAAACCTAACATAGAAAGTTGATGTATAGTGTCAGATAAACTATAACTAGGTAGAATTGTAACTAACGGACATATTCGTTGAATATGTTGTCACCTGTAGAAGCGGCAGGAAGCCACAAACGTCTCTCTGTGTGCTCATGGAAGCCCAGCACCACCCCAGTTGTAGCTGGCTGTATCCTCGAACCGGGTAATATGATGCAGAAAACGGAGGCTGACTAGGTTCCCCGAAGTGTTCGGGAACAAAACCCCCCCAAATGGAAGGAGCAGCAACGGCCTCGTATATCGCTGCACATCCACCTCCTCTGACTCGTCGGTGATAGTATCGTGGAGCTGCACCAGGTGGTCTCTAATAGGGACTAACTGTATGCGACTGACCCCAGACGCTACCTCCTGGTCCTCCGGCATGAAACCAGTGAGCATGTGCAGCATATCCCAATATGCCTCCCGCGGATAATATCTCATGTTCGCAGGGAGTAAAACAGGCAAGCCATCAGCAGACAGGCCATATAAAATCTCTGCGTCCTGGAGTGTAATGGTGGCCTCGCCAATGGGCAGATGGAAAGTGTGCGTCTCCGGTCGCCACCGCTCAATCATGGCCGTGATCAAAGCATAGTCGAGCTGTATCCGGCCAATCCTAATAATCCGATAAAATCCCATCTCCTCCAGGTGATGGACCACGCGGGGATGTAGAACGCGGGGAGGACTCAAAAACTCCCATAGTAGATCCACTCTCCTGGCCCGAAAAGTCGTTGTAAGCAACTGTCCCTCCCAGATATACTCGGATCTATGCTGGGGCTGTAGGGCTAATAGATCCGACGTCCGAGGGCCGGGATGTATAGGCGCATCCATGTCGTCAACTGTAAAATCATAATTTTTAATAACTTA